GATGCAGAACAAGGGAGGTTAGGTGGTATTTATGAGGATGAGGTAAAAAAAAAATCTTAGAATTCTGTGTTCTAAAGGAAAAGTCTGAGCAGTTTCATGGGTGCATGAGGTATTTTCTTGGTTTCCTAGGGACTACAGAATATTAAAATCTGAGGTTGTTTTTGTTGTTAGGCGCTGTAGAGTATAACCCATAGCGACCCTACGGAGAACAGATCAGAATCCTGCCCCATCCTGTGCCATCTTCACAGTCTGACATACTAGAGCCCAAGGCGGCTATGTCAATTCATCTGGTTGAGAGTCCTCCTCTTTGTCATTGACCCCACCTTCCCAAGCATGGTGAATAACAAAGATGCCTTTGAGCAGTGGTGTTGGGGAAGCAGACTGACTATCCCATGAACTGCCAAAAGATCAAGCAGATGTATCTTGACTAAGGTGCAGCTGGAGTGTGCCTTGGAAGTAAAGATAATAAAACTTTGTCTCACATACTTTAAAATCTAAGATAATTGCCCTAAAATTATTCCTAAACCACAATACTTACGTGATTAAGTTAGAAAATATTCTGGCTAATATAAAAAAAAAAATCCACAACTTTTTATTGAGAGTTTAGTGAAAATTTGTATAGCACATTGGTTGGTGTTTTTTGTTTTTTTTTTTTTTTTTAATGAAACAATTCATGTACATTGTCTCATGACAGAGATTACAATCCCTACATTGTAACAGAACTCTTCCCACTTCCTCTATTTCCTGATTTGGTTCTTCCTTTGCAATCCAAGTTTGCCTTCTGAGCTTTATTTCTGTGCAAATACTGCCCTTTGATCTTGGGTGGCCTCTTGTTCTGAGAAATGTTTTCTTCACAGGAGTTATTGCTCTTCTTTGACAGGCATGTCTGCTGAAAGGCGTGCCAGTTCCAGGCTTGAAGGGTAACTAAGGCCCACAGTGTTGGGATTCTCACTTTGTATTAGACCGGTAAGCCTGGACTACTTTCCCTGTGATTTGAAGTTTTGTTTCACAATTATCTCCTGCATTGCTAGGATTCATCTATTGTGATTGTCTTTAGAGCAGCCCCCAGTGCTTGACTGGTCACTACTTAATTCCTTTGGTCTTAAGAATTGCGGAGACAAAACTTCACACATTCTATTAGTCCTCTTAATTAATATTCTTTTTCTTCACCCCTCTTGGCTCATAATGAGGAGAAATCATTAATTATGCCTTAGATGGATACTCACAGCTTTTACAACCTTAGTCACTACTCACCAAAGTAGGATGTAGAGCATTTTCTTTGTAGACGATCCTATGCCAAATTACTTTGATGTGCCCCAATGACTATGACACTGAGCTCCTGGGCCAGCCTGGTGATTCATTCCTTTTTTTTTAAAATGTTTTTATTTTATATTAGTTTGCCTACAGAATTCATATACATGGTGCTTCATTCCTACACATTGTGTTTCAACTTTCTTTCAAAATATTTGATCATGGCTGGGAAGTTTTCATAATTTTGCCCTCTCTTTAACTGCATCCATAGATGTATTTATACCACCTGCCAAACCGATATGGTCCTGAGTGTAGTCTCATTTGTTTATGCATACTGACTTCTTCCTCTTGCCTGTCAGCATATGTATCCACTTGTAGAATGAAGATGAGTAAGTTAGTGTCTGTTCTTACTGATAATGCTAAATTGTGTATGTTTCAATATTTAACTTTGTTGTCTCCAACTCTTGTACATGTCTGCATGTCTTTCTCATCCTTAATGATTTGTGTTGACAATTCCCTCACCCTCTTCACTCAAATTAATACATATCTCTTATCTAATTAGTGATTTCTCCCCTTTCCTTACTCATCTCAGACTGGTTATTGTTCTGTGTATATAAGCTTCTTCTCTACATTTTTTATAGTATTAGATTCATACAATATTTATATTTGTAATTGACCTTTGTCATTAACTTATTTCATTCAATGCAAAACAGGCTACTGGAATGAACAGAATATTTCCAGACATATTTCAACAAATGAATGCAAGGCTGGAGATATTCATTTATGCCAAGAAATTTGGAAAAGAGTTACCTGGTAAAGTGATTAGAAGAGATCCATATCAGTGCACAATTCAAAGAAAGGTAATCCAATAGAATGACATTTACAGAAGAATTCTATTCACATCACATGAAAGGAAAACACCGAAAAGAATTAAAAAAACAGCTGGAGTAGTACATGACAGGGAACTGATAGAACAGATAAATAATTGATACGATAGATATATAGCTGATATAACAGATGAGATCCAATGTAATGAAGTATTTCCCTTGTAAGATCTGATATAAAGTCATCATCTTCACAATGTGCTGAGCTATGGGCAGCCACACTGTATACACATGGACATCTAGCAAAACTCTCTTGCTTTTTGCTTTGTTAAAATCCTGGAGAAGCTTCTAGCCTGCCCATGACCCTTTGACTTGGAATTTGCCAGCCTGTACTGGCAAATGAGCAATTTCTTTGAGAAAAATCAATTTGTCTCTGTTGCTTGTTTTCTCTCTCTGTTGTTGTTGTTGTGTAAAGCTGAGTCAGAACTGACCCATAGCTGGTGCGTTAGCAGGTTTTCAGAGGAAGTTTACTCACTTGAGAGGAGATTGCCTATCTTTCTTACTCCCGCAGAGCAGCTGGTGGATTTGAACTGAATGGCTTTGGGATTGCAGCATATATCCCTTTTAGAGTCTCTACATTTGCCCCCATTTTTCTTTTAATGGCGTTAACATTTAGGCTTTTGATCCATCTTGAATTGGTTTTGCATATGGTGTGAGGTATAAATTTGATTTCATTTTTTGGCAAATGACTATTTAGTTTTACTACTTGTTAAAGAATTTGTCTTTTTCCCACTTAGGGGATTTAATTTCTCTTTCAAAGATCAGTTGTGTATAGACAGATGGGCTTATTTCTAGGTTCTCAATTTTTTTAAGATTTTTTTTTTTTTAATGTGTACTGTCAAATCTGATTTGACTGGTACAGGAGGAGAATGCTCCCTCCTTCTCCAGCAGATCATCTGGTGGATTCTATCTATGTACCTCTGAGATTGCAGTGCAGCTTCTTGCCACTAGGCCACCAGAGAGCTCCTTTCTCAACGTTATTTTATGAATGTATGTGTCTACCATTATGCCAGTAACAGGCTGTGTTGATTACTGTTGACTGTATAGCAGGTTTGAAGTTGGAGTGTGTGAGAGAAATCCTACTTTCCTGTTCTTCATCAGGAGACCTCTGGTTATCTCAAGTCTCTTTCCTTTCCACATAATGCCAGTGATTGGTTTTCCCAAATCCTTAAGAAGTGGTGGTATTCTGTTTATCTATTACTGAATAACACATTTCTCTACAGCTCAGAGTTTTAAAGCAGCAACTTATCCTTTCTCAGAATGTCATTAGGCTTCTTTCTGTCATATATTATGTGTAGGGACTAGAACAAGAGGAGGGTCTGGTTTTTATTCAGTGGCTGGACTTGCAGCTGTGATGGGCCAACTGTGTTCATGTGTCTGGTGCCTCAGATCTCGCTGAAAATGAAGTTCCTCTTTCTCCTCTATGGAATCACAGGAGCGGCCCCTGTCTAAATAGTTTTTCTCCAACAAATTGGAAGAAGGGGTGCAACTCAGAGCTACTAAGGGCTCAAAATCAAGGCTGCCTGAACGTCATAAAGCTCAGACCTTGAAGGGGTGCAATGCCATTTGTGGCACTTTCTCCCCACCTCACTGTTCTTTTAACTGAGGTCCACTCAGAATCCTAGGCTCGAGGCCCACACAAGGTTATAATTTCAGGAGGTTATGTTTCGTTGGCTCCATGGCACATCTGTGAGGGCTGGCATGCTCTGGTTCCCAATTATATGTGCTCTTCAGAGATAGTTGAGAGGACAAATAGTGTGGAACAAGGTACCCTCAGACTTCCTCCACAGAACTGATGTGGGGGGGCGGGTGGTTTGGTCTGACACCGGGTTTGTTTAAACGAAGGCAGGCCTGAAGGTGTATCTTCATCCAATCTATTATGCATTCATTGAGCACAGGCTCAGGTTAACATATGAGGTATTTACTTATATTCCTACTTTACAGCTTGGGGCTTTCGTGGCTAAATGGTAAGGATTTGTGCTCCCAAGCCAAAGCCATGCAGTTCAAATCCATCAGTAGCGCTGCTGGGAGAAAGATAGGCAATCTCCACCCTTGCGATTGTGTCTAAAGACCCACCGGAGGGTCAGCTATGACTCAACGGTACATAATCACCTAACATCTTTACAGCACAGAGAGCAGAGGTCAGCTATGAGTTGGTTTCGACTCAATGTTATATAACCATCTAACATTTTTACAGCACAGATAGCAGACATAAACTACGAGTTGCTTTCTACTCAATGGTACATAACACTCTAACAGGTTTTTGGTTTGTTTTTTTCTTGTTGTGTGCCATCAAATCGGATCAGGACAGGAGACTGTCCTTCCAGAGCATCTGGTGGGTTCGAACCGCACGCCTTTGGGAATGCAGGGCAACAATCTTAACAGTTCTACAGCACAGGGAGCAGAGGTTCTGAACACAGTATTCCTCCTACAGTATTCCACCTAGCACCACACCACGACATGCCTCCACGGCCTTTTCTGAGCATGGGGGAAGGTACTTACAGGGTCTCCCTGCAAGTCAGTACTCTACACTTCCGGTCCCCCCCCTTTGGGGGCAGCCTCTCTTAGTAGCTCTTGGCTTGCAGGGCGGCTGGTTCAGACACAGCCAATAGGGGTTGGGAGGACACTTGAGGGTACTCTGCTGCTCTGTTCAGCGTGAAGGACGAAAACAAGACCTAAGCCATCGGGAAGCTATCGGCTAGCCCCAGGCAGAAGGCTAAAAGGCTGGCTTCAGGGCGGAGCGTCCCGGAGAGATCCAAGCCAGCGCGCCGCGCCCCGCCCACGCACGCACGCACGCTCGCCGGCCCCGCCTCCCACGCAGCTCTGGTCCCGCCCCCGGCATTGGCCGTGCGAGCCACCGTCCGCACATCCTTGCCGCGCACGGCCAGGCAAAGCTGAGCCGGCCGTGTGCTGTGTGTGTATGTGTTCGCGGGGCACTGTTGCAGCCCCGGGAAGATGGTGGCGTCGGCGGCGGCGTCCGAGGCGAGGCTGAGGGCGAGGACGGTGGCGACGGCAGCGCCCGCGGGCAGGCACGGCGGGCGGCGCCGGGACTGGGACGTGACTGGAGCTGGGAGGCCGGGTCTGGGGGCCGGGCTGCGCCTCCCGCGGCTCCTGTCGCCGTCGTTGCTGCTGCTGCTGCTGCTTCTCCCGCTGCTGCTGCTGCTGCTGCTGCCCTGGGCGGCCGAGGCCGCGGCGGCGGCGGCGGTGGTGTCGGGCTCCGCCGCAGCCGAGGCCAAGGAATGCGACCGGCCCTGTGTCAACGGCGGGCGCTGCAACCCTGGCACCGGCCAGTGCGTGTGCCCCGCCGGCTGGGTGGGCGAGCAATGCCAGCACTGCGGGGGCCGCTTCAGGTGAGTGGGGGGTGGGCTCGGAGGGTCAGGCCCAGCCATAGGGCGGGATCGGGGGTTGCTCGAGACGCCTCCAGGCCAGAGGCGGATGCCAGGCCGAAAGTAGGGGGACCACCCTTCGGTCCTTGAAGTCTGTTCGCTTCTGGGGAGGTAATTTTCTTTGGCCTGGGGTCTTCCACTGGTGGGAGGTGAAAAGGTATGAATTAAAGATAGAGGCACCCCAAAGCCTTAGTGATGCGGCAGACCAGATGGGGAGAATGCTTATGATCTTAAAGAGTATCAAAGCCAGTCTTTGAATCTGGGCCTATTTCAGATAAACGAAGTGCCAAAGAAAAGAGGAGAGAGCCAGTTTTAACATCCTCCTAGACCCTTAGGCTCTAAGATGCCTTCAAGTGGAGATGTGGGATACTTCTCAGAAACAAGACATTGGAAGTGATCTGTTAGCTGGAGGAAGACGAAAAGGGCAAGATTGTGAAAGATATTAGGGGTTGGCTTCAGGAAAGCGAGGAATCGAGCATTTGAAGCTCACTGGAGAGTGCACGTTGGAATAGAGTCTGTCGTAGAGAAGCAATGGAGGAGGTTTCTGGTTTCTAGAGAATGTCAGGAGTTTGGCCTGGTATAGGGGCACAACCTCTTGGAGAGATCATTAATTGGCTAAGTAGCAGTTATCTGTTATTTGCTTCATTTGTGCAAGGATTTGTTGATAACACATATAAATAAATGGATTAGCCAGACTTTGGCCTAGTCCAAAAGGAGTTTGGAATATAGCAAGCGATCAATATGTACACAACCTTAGTCATTAGAGTTAGAGAGCCCTACTTGCCTTTGGTAAATATTTATCAAATACTTGTGATATCTAATATTGGGGAGGGAGGAAATGTGTTGATTAGGCAGGGTCTTGTTTATGGATTTTATCGTCTAGTGAGGGTGACAGGCTATTCACAAGGACATAAGTAGTGAAATGAACAAGATACTTTGAGCAGTAAATGATGTAAAGAAAATAAAACCAGGTGGTCTCATATGGAATTCTCACCAGAAGGGGAACTTGTGTGAATTTATAAGTGGAGGCTAGGAGAATCCAAGGAGGACTTTGAGGAAGAGGTGACTTTAGTTTTTAGCATTTGAAGTAAGAAGTATTTGGAAAGGGGAAACTGGGGGGGAAACAACAACTCCAGATGCAAAGAAAGATGCAGACAGTTGTGGAGATCAGACAATACAGTTTCACGGTTGCCAAGGTGTGTGGAAGAGTTGTGTTCGAGAGAAATTTAAAATGGCAGAGTTACAGACTCTTGTAATATCTGAGCTTCAGGAGGCTTGGAATATTGAGGAGATGAGCACCTTAGTTTTGTGGATGGAGAAATAGTGTGTTCACAGCCAGTGTGTGTTGGGGCTAACTATAATTTAGATTTTACTGACTTACAAGCTCCATTAATATATGAGTATTTGTGGAGGGCTCCTTTGTTTTAGGTTGTGAGATAAACAAGAACTCACAATCTTGATATTGTGGATTTTATATTCTGGAATGCAAAAAAATTGCAGCAATAACTTTGCTATAATTCTGTTTAATGGTATGGAGGTGAATGCAGCTCATCTTATTGCCAGCAAGTTGAACCTGTCTCATAGCTGGATTTCCATAGTTTTAAGTCAAATGGGAGATTGCCCATCTTTCTCCCATGGAGCCCCTGGTGGATTTGAACTGCTGGAGAGGCGCTGCCTTTGTGTTAGCCATACAACTACCTATAGACTATGCCACCAGAGCTCCCTTGGATGTGAAGAGCAGGGACCAAATGAGAAGTTTAGTTGGAAGTGGGGATGAGATTAGTTAACTGAGTAAGTTACTTGTGAATCGAGAACCAAGGGTTGATTTGAGAATGTACCATGTGAGTGGTGGATTGTGGAGGGACCAGCATGTTCAAGGCTAGGGGATTTTAAGAATCTTGGCAGTTTGGATAGAAGACCTAGTGGGGAGCAGAGAGAAGAAAGAGGAAAATAGTAAGACTGGAGAAATAGGCAGGGGCCAGGCCATGTGGAAACCTTTTGGTTGGATTGAGAATTTTGACCTTTAGCCCAAGAGCAAGAGAATAGTATAGTTCACCTGCCCCTCTGCCCTGAACTCCCTTCCCCCCTTGACATTAAAGGCTTTTGATTAGAGCTAGAGCAAGGAATAGCCTTCCTTGAACAAAAGGCCAGTGTATTTTAAATTTGAGGACCTTCCAAGATCAGGATGGTTGGGTCAGATGAGGGTCCTTCAGATTCTGAAAATCTGGACATTGTGTCAGGTCATGGTTGTAATAAGGGAGCAGGACATGAGGGACATTCATAACAAGATTAATTTGTAATATTTAGAGTTGATACAGGTTCACTTTGAGCCTGAGAGTTGGTGGACAGTTAGGTGAGAGTTATTCGCATGGACCAAATCATCAGTAATGAAAGCTTGAGCTAGGCAGTGGGAAAGGAAGCAGGTATAGATGTTGGCGGATGGTGTAGAGGTAAAATGGACAGGTCTGAGAGAAAAGAGTTTATTTTAGATGCTCTGAATTTGAGGTCCACTTAGGGGATCCACGTGGCAGAACAGGGGTAAGGGTTGGAGTCTGTGTGTGTGAAGGAGATAATTAGGGAGTGATAACAAGTCTGAGCACCCATGTGGATGCTCCTGAGGATTGGAGAAAAGCCACTTATTATGGGGAACAGGCAATACTGACACTGATTGTCTCAGATGGCACATGTGAGTCCCAGAGCTCCCCTAGTTACTATGGACACTGTTGTGGGCAGAGTTCAGAGTTGACTGCCGATGATGTAATTTACTTTTTGTAAGTTTCAGGAATTTGCATTTTTTAAAAAAAAATGAAAATTAATTTCTGTCTGCAAATTTTTAAAAGCTTTTTGTTAAAGCTCTGCTTGAATATAAGAGTGATATGTTGGTTTTGATTGTAATGGTATTTATTTTGATTTAGTTTACAAACTTTGTTTTTAATTAAAATTTGAACTTAAAGACATTGAGTGGTTTTCTAGTTTGGAATGACATCCAGTTAATGTTTTTAAAGCTTTTTAGTTCTCAAGTCTTCTGTTCGATGAGGTCTTTTACATGGATTAATAGAAATGTAAACAAAGAAATGAGTTGGATTTTCACTAAAGTTCTCACTGAATGCCAACTGTGTATATGAGGACCAAGCATTTCCATATACCTTGTGCCATTTTAATCCTCAAGACAGCTCCAATGGTATTATTTTATTATGTGGTTGAGGTTGGAAAAGTTTTTTTCCCCCCAAATGAAACAAATTATTAGAAAAGACTCCCACTTATTGTTGTGGAATTGGAATTGACTTATAGCAGACCCTCCAGAGGGTTTTTTGGAGGCTGTAAATATCACGGATGGAGATTGCCCATCTCACTACCTCAGAGCAGCTGGTGAATTTGAAGTACAAGAGAGTTGTTGCCCTCGAGTAAGCAGAGAAGTTCTCTATGAACTACACTCCCTGAAGACCCGGAAACAAACTGCAGAAATAATGGCTTATAGCCATTTTCATAGGATAAAGTTAATTGTGTCAGTTTAATAAAAATAAGTATAGGAACCTTGTGAATGATTTCTGCAGCAGTATCACTTTGTGTCAGGAAATGTGAGGATGGCACAGGACAGGACTCAGATCATTTTGTTCATAGGGTCGCTATATGCCATACTCGACCCGATGGCACCTAACAGCAACATCACTTTGTAACCTCACTATTGAAATTTTTCTTTTCATTTAAGTCAGATAGTTAGCCCAGTTACATATTTAGTATCTTTAACTTCCTGCTCTACACAACTTTGGGAAGGATGGCGTAGAATAGTGGAATGAGGTGAACTTCATAGTTCCCCGTGATGTTAAGACTTCTCTAGAAGGAAGGAAGCCTTTCGTGAGCATCTGTTTCATGCCGGCACATGCAGTCATTGTAGGAGCTGCTGCAGCAGCAGCGACAATTTATCTTAGTGTTCCTCCCTTTCTTCCAGGCAGTGTGCTTGTCTTTAATCCTTAAAATGTGTGTTGACAAATCAAATTTAGGCTTGTCTGTTTCCCCTTGTAGAATAAAAGCTCCATGAGAGCAGAGAATTTTACCAGTTTTGGTCACTGTTAAATTCCCAGAGCCAGGAAATAGTCCTTTGGACAGATTCAGTGCTCTCTAAGTACTTGTTGAATGAAAATGAAATTCTACTAAAAGTAGCCTTTTATAACTTCTAAAAAGTTTTCTTTATCCATATGGCTGCCATATCTGTCTTTTGTCCTCACATTTCTTCTGAATTTATCTTCTACTCTGTTAAACATCTTACTGAGATATTTTCTGCTCACCTCGTACTGACTCATGACTACACTTGCTTATTGAAAAAGTCTTTTCCTTTGTACATCCTTAGTTCAGTTGTGAATTCCACCCTTGTGTAACCAAAGGTCCAAACTTGGAAGTGATTACTGGCTCTATCTGTTTAGTTTGTCTTTTTTTAAAAATTGTGATTTTAGGAGAGCTCTGGTGGCCTA